TTTTCACATGGCTTGCATGTACCTCCTGGACATTGAGTTGTGACTTTTACGATATACAAGAATCGAGGATTCTTGTGTCACAACTTACTTTAAACCGGCTGCTGCACACTTGCTCTGCATATGACATGACGAAACAAATCTGACTTTACCACACTGACTGCACAACTGACGACTTAGACTGACTGACTAGACGAACAGAACAACTAACCTGACTGACTAGACTATACCACATAGACTGCACAACGACTTTGACTGACTGACTAGACGAATGGTTGTCCACTACACAACAACTGACCTGTCGACAAAACAAACCTGACTGACTAGACCATACCACATCGACTGCACAACGACTTAGACTGACTGACTAGACGAACGGTTGTCCACTACACAACAACTGACCTGACAAAACAAACCTGACTGACTAGACCATACCACATCGACTGCACAACGACTTAGACTGACTGACTAGACGAACAGAACAACTAACCTGACTGACTAGACTATACCACACCGACTGCACAACGACTTAGACTGACTGACTAGACGAACCGCTGTCCACAACCGTTGTCCACAACCGTTGTTTGCACAACGACTGACCTGAAAAAACAAACCCAACTGACTGGACTTTACCACACAGACTGCACAAATGACGACTTTGACTGAGTGACTAGAAGAACCGTTGTCCACAACCGTTGTCCACAACCGTTGTCCACAACTGTTGTTTGCACAACAACTGACCTGACAAAACAAAACCCGACTGACTGGACTTGACCGCACGACTGCACAACGACTTAGACTGACTGACTAGACGAACCGTTGTCCACAACCGTTGTCCACAACTGTTGTTTACACAACAACTGACCCGACAAAACAAACCTGACTGACTGCATGGACTAAATCACGCTGACTGTGCGACATACTATAGACATTATAAYATAAACCTGGACAAACAAGATGTGCTATCAACCATTGTAAAACACTTTGTAAAATGATCGAATAAACTTATAAAAAATCAAAAAAGTTCCTGATTCAGCGAATGGAGTAAAGGAAATGGAGGAAGAGAGGGAGAGACGGAGGGGAGGGGGGTGGGGTAGGTGTTGAATTTACGGTAGCCCCATAAAAATGCAATACGATGCAATTAACTTTAATATAACATTAATCAGTAAATAAGAGACAAACAAATATATTGATATTATAAATYTTGATTGCAAATTTAAGAGATTTACAATAAACTGAGAGTGATGTAATAGCCCAACATCTGGTCCTCGCATTAAAAAACATTGTCCAAAAAATTAATTTCTGACTTACTGCCCATTAATATGCCTGCTGTCATGTAGGGCGAAAAAGCGAAAACATATTGATATAAACCAAAAGGGATGTTGGTTTAATTTTTTTCCGGACCCAGACCAATGTACAGGTAAGTCTTCTAAGTCTTCCCTACACAAAGAGGACAATCATAGAGAACATGTTTGGAGGCGAGGGGGGGATAAATAGATGCACGGTTGAACGTCTTCGAAATGGAAGTTTTCAATAAATCATTCATCATTTTGGTTAATTAACTGTTAACTGCATTTATATAATTATCAATGAATGCACTTCAAAAGCAATATTACGGTTGTAATACTAGAAAGGGTAAGTATCTCCCGAGAAAAATTAGCTATTTTGTTTTCAAACATATTTGAAAACTTCTCTCTCTTATTTTATCGCACGAAATGCAAGCGGAAAAACTATGAATAGAAAAAAAATTCCAGTCATATAGATAGCATAATATTTATTCAATTCCATGATTTTTGGTAGGGCTTTATCATAAGATGATTCGTGAATAAATAAAGGTTAGATAAACCATTGCTATCCACCCTCCCCTCCCCGAAGTATAAAGCAAATTGAAAGTTAGGGAGACAAACAATTGCTATCCACCCTCCCCTCCCCGAAGTATGAAGCGAATTCTCTTCGCGCTCTTTTTCTCGTGTCAATTTTTTTAATTTTTACACCTGTCAATCAACRACACCTATCTTAAATATCATTGGTCCATACTTGAAACGCTGACTTTTTTAACAGCATCTGATTGGTCGAGAATAAAGCACGTGAAATTTTGCACGCAAATGGCTTGTTACTGCAAGAATGCGCCCACTTTCATTCAAGACGTCGAAGCGAGTGGCTGCAAGAA